GGAAACCTGGAGGTCCACCTTTAAAGTATTGGCTTGCGTGTTTCCTGTCCCGGAGGGAGGAGCTGTACGTCTCAAGGAGGCTGACCTGGAAGACTCGTAGAAAAGGAGTTACCGGTAAGCCTAACTCTGGATTTTATTATTACTAGTAATGGCGGCGATCAACGACTTATAGCAGCAATGCAGCAGGCATTCTGACACTGAGGGGAACTTACTTGGTGTCACTGACATCCCCAGTGACACCAATACAGTGCTAATAAAAATCACTGACACTACTAATAGCACTGGGCAGGAAAGGGTTAACATGTGGTGCGATCAAAGGTTAACTGTGCGCTGTGTACCTTTTTACATTGTGTCCTGTGTGTATGCGTCACTGTAAGCACACTGCTCTTGCTTGGCTATGCAAAGCAGCATGCAGGAGTTAACTGGGGGAGAATTGTATTGTTTCTGAACAGTTCTCACCCCCCACCCCCCCCACCCGTCCCATCGTCGATGCTCAGCAATCACCGGGCGCCGGCGAACAATCACCGGCTGAGACCTGGTGATTGACACCCGAGCGCACGCACGCCCTCTACCCGGAACTGTAAAATTAGGTATAGTACATCAGTACATCTGCTATAGGGTGGACGGGAAGCGGTTAGCCAGCGGCTGGATGGTTGTAATGGTGCACCATGAAAGCCTGTGGCTTTGTGTAACTATGAGGCAGGCTTCATTCGTCTGCCAACTTGTATACAGTTTTGGGCAATTTTTGGTCATTTTGCCCCTAAGACACACTGGTTGAAAGGCTGCTGTACACACTGCTGCTCACTGCATTGTGCATCATACACTGCCACTCATTTCTCTGTACACTTCATACCATATCATACCCACTACCGCTGACTGCCCTGTACACCTTACACACTGCATACTGTGCACACTGCCACTTGCAGATTTTTACACACCATACTGGATTTCCTGCCTTTTGTTGCTCTGTACACTATGTACTGGATACACTTCCTCTTATCACCCTGCACTGCACAGTGGGTGTACTGCTCTGTACAATCTATACTGGATGTACCTCCATTCTGCACCAGAGACACTCTTACTATACAGTGTCTTGAAAAAGCATTCATTCCCCTTGAAATTCTCCACATTTTGTCATGTTACAACCAAAAACGTAAATGTATTTTATTGGGATTTATGTTATAGACCAACACAAAGTTGGCACATAATTGTGAAGTGGAAGGAAAATGATAAATGGTTTTCAATATTTTTTACAAATGTGAAAAGTGTGGCGTGCATTGTATTCAGCTCTCCTGAATCAATACTTTGTAGAACCACCTTTCACTGCAATTACAGCTGCAAGTCTTTTTGGGGTATGTCTCTACCAGCTTTGCACCTCTAGAGAGGGACATTTTTGCCCATTCTTCTTTGCAAAATAGTTCAAGCTCTGTAAAATAGGATGGAGAGTGTCTGAACAGCAATTTTCAAGTCTTGCAACAGATCCTCAATTAGATTTAGGTCTGGATTGGGCTATTCTAACACATGAATATGCTTTGAGCTAAACCAATGGTCTCCAGACTATGGCCCGGGGGTTGGATGTGGCCCTTTGCTTGTCTTTATCTGGCCCTTGGGGCACTTTTTTTTCCCACTGATACAAGATACTATTCCTCTCACTGACACCAACAAGAGGGCATGGATCTGCTACTGACATCAATAACAGACACTATTTATACAAACAATTGGGCACTATTCCTCTCACTGACACTAACAACGGGGCACCATACTTCCCACTGACACCAACGACAGGGCACTATTTCTCCAACTTACACCAGGAATAGGGCACTATTCCTCCCTCTAATGCCAAAGATGCATTGTTTACTCCCAATGACGTAGGTCAATTTCTACTCCAAATGGCCACAGTCCGGCCCCCCTAAAGTCTGAAAAAGCCAGTAAACTGGACCTTTGTTTAGAAAGTTTGGAGACCCCTGATCTGAACTACTCCATTGTAGCTCTGACTGTATGTTTAGGGTCCTTGTCCTGCTGAAAGGTGAACCTCTGCCCCAGTCTCAAGTCTTTTGCAGACTCTAACAGGTTTTCTTCTAAGATTTCCCTGTATTTGGCTCCATTCATCTTCCCATCAACTGACCAGCTTTCCTGTCCCTGCTGAAGAAAAGCATCCCCACAACATGATGCTGCCACCACCATGTTTCACGGTGGGGATGGTGTGTTCAGGGTGATTTGCAGTATTGTTTTCTTCCACACATAGCATTTTGCTTTTAGGCCAGAAAGTTCAGTTTTGGTCTGATCTGACCAGAGCACCTTTTTCCACGTTTGCTGTGTCCCCCACATGACTTCTCGCACACTGCCAATGGAACTTCTTATGGCTTTCTTCAGCAATGGCTATTTTTCTTTCCCACTCTTCTATAAAGGCCAGATTTGTGGAGTGCACGACCAATAGTTGTCTTGTGGACATTCTCCCACCTGAGCTGTGGCTCTCTGCAGCTCCTCCAGAGGTACCAATGGCCTCTTGGCTGCTACTCTGATTAACCACTTGCCTACCAGGCACTTATACCCCCTTCCTGTCCATGCCAATTTTCAGTTTTCAGCACTGTCGCATTTTGACAATTGCACGGTCATGCAACATTGTACCCATATGAAATATTTATCATTTTTTTCACACAAATAGAGCTTTCTTTTGGTGGTATTTAATCACTGCTGGGTGTGTTTTTTTTTTTTTGCGCTATAAACAAAAAAACAGAGCAAAAAAATTAGAACAAGAAAAGTTTTTCTTTGTTTCTATTATAAAACTTTGTAAACAGATAATTTTTCTCCTTCACTGATGTGCACAGATGATGCTGCATTGATATGCAGCAATGATGAACAGCACTGACTGATGGCACTGCTGGGCACTGATCATCAGTACTGATCTGTTCTCTGACAATTGCCGGTTATCGGCAGTACTTTCCTCACAGCAGTGACAGCGTGAGGAAAGTGCAGCCGATAACCGGCAACTGTATTTACTCACTGATCTGCTGTGTCATTGGACACAGCTGATCACGTGGTAAAAGGTCGCTGTGATTGGCCGTTTACCACATCACGTAATCAGCTGTGTCTGTAGGACACAGCAATCACGGAGATTGCTGGGGGCTCACGGGGAGGGCGTCCTGCGATGCCCTCTCAGAACTGGACAACCACGCTGTAGCGGCCATTTGGCTATAGCGCGGTTGGCAAGTGGTTAATGCTCTCCTTGCCTGGCCGGTCAGTTTAGGTGGACGGCCATGTCTTGTTAGGTTTGCAGTTGTGCCATACTCTTTGCATTTTTAGATGATGGATTGAACAGTGCTCTGCGAGATATTCAAAGCTTGGGATATTATTTTTTTTTTTTCTTTATATAACCTAACCCTGCTTGTAAACTTCTCCAACTTTATCCCCGACCTGTCTGGTGTGTTCCTTGGACGCACCAGACAGGTCTGTTTGTTCATTAATGTTCTCCAACAAACCTGAGGGCTTCACAGAACAGCCATATTTATACTGAGATTATCATAGTAAAGGGGGCTGAATAAAAATGCACGCCACACTTTTCAGATATTTTATTTGTAAAAAATGTTGAAAACCATTTATCATTTTCCTTCCACTTTACAATTATGTGCCACTTTGTGTTGGTCTATCACATAAAATACATTTACATTTTTGGTTGTAATATGACAAATTGTGGAAAATTTAAAGTGGTAGGAATACTTATTCAAGGCACTGAATATACTGTACATGCTGTGTTGCACACTAGATACCATTTTACTGCTGCTGTATGTTGAGGCAATACGGTGAACGCCCTCTGCTCCCCGTACTACTGACACTGTTACCAAGCAGTACATGCAGCCTCCTATAATGTCCCTACAGTATTGTGTTCTGCACCAGAGTTGTGCACACTATTGCATGTTTCCTGGCACTTTGAGTTTTGCCTTCTCCATCCTTTTTTTTTCCGAAAGTTTGTAAAAAGAAAAAAAGTCTGAGGTTCCCAGCTTTTCTTTCTCTTTGCAGTGTGAGACCATTTCAGCATCTCTTATTGGTAGCCACAAGTCATTGTACTGATACTTCCCCACAATGGAGGTTCTGTGGGCCGGTTACACATACAGAAATTTATCAGGTATGCTGTAGAATTTAAAAAAAAAAAAAAAAAGAAAATTGCATGTGGAGCTTGTTCACAGATCAGGTACTGTTAATGAATTCAGTGAATTCAAATCACTGCTATGCGGCCTACTCATTGACTGAATCTTGTAACAACTTAAAAGTAAACACACATGATACAATGTAACAAATTCTTCACACTGTGACGTGAGAATAAACATAATCCCAGTGGTAAGGCTGTATATATATATTATATATCTATCTAAACACAATGGGACCAGGCTGCTGACTCCAATCTGGCTTGGGAAGACCGATATTTGAAATGAATAAATGGGGAAGTTGAGAGAGGTGCCCAAGGAACCAATATAGTGTGGTATGTCAATTTATTAAAAAGATCATTAAAATCATATAATATTCAACTCATAAAGGTGAAGTATTTGCAGGCATGTCATTATGGCAGAAGTCCATAACCGCAGGCAGATGGATGACTAGATCCACGGGGAGCTGGATGGAGAGGCAGCCACTGAAGGTGCAGAGAGGATGGGTGCCTTTTGAGAGCGGGATGCAAAGCCAGGGGGGCGTAGCAAAAAGTGCAAGAGCACAGCGGTTGAAGCTCTTGTAAACTCATAACTATACCTTGAACGCAGAGATTGGAGTGTCAATGAGTTCTATGTTAGTGGCTCTAGTAGTCATTTTGTTGCTCTGGTGGGCAAACAAAACAGACTAGAAAAAAAAAAAAAGATTTTGTAACATATAGTGGTTTGCAAATTTTTAGTGTGTTTTTTTTTTTCTTTTTATCTTTCTCTGGTTACCTAACTAAATATCTTTCTTTGATTGTAGGATGTGAATTCTTCCTGAGCTGCTGCTGATTACAGATCTCTTCCCCTTCTGCTAGAATGTTTCCTAGTGAATGCTCCTCCAGTGGCAGCTTTTCCGACACAATGGATGCCGTTTGGACCCAAAACTACCCATAAAGTGCCCCTGTCTCTAGGTCACTCTGAACAGACACACAAAGCACCGAATCTTCTGGGCATTATAGACAGTCAGCAGAGTAATGAGTCTTCTTGTGCAGTGAGAGCTGAATATGAGCGTATTATGCAGAAGAACAGAAAGGGGGAATTAAGTCATGACCGGGGACTAAAAGCCAGTGCCACACTGTTTAAGGGGCACACAAGGGAACAGGCTTCTTTCACACTTCCCACACAGTTAAAAATCAATAAAGAAGAAAAGTTCCCCAGCACTGGATTCAGACAGCGATGATTCTGTTGACAGAGACATTGAAGAAGCTATACAGGAATATCTAAAAAACAAAAGCACTGCAGATGCTTCCTCTACCACTGTTGCTACAAAGAACTCAGGCCTCAGTGATAATAGTTCCGACCAGCTAAAAACAGCTTCTAGTAATGCACCTGCACGCAAATCGCCTGTTAAAATGGTCGCTTCAACTACCACCTGCAATGCTTTTTCACCTCTGGACCGTTCTTCTTGCTCTTCTCCAGAAAGTGTGGGCAGTGATGATTCCTTTGAGCAAAGCATCAAGGATGAAATTGAGCAGTTTCTGAATCAGAAGAAGTTGCAGAATACTGCGAGTGACACTAGCACTGCCAAGAAGGCTGTCCAGAGCAACTTAACTGCTAAACCAAAGCAAAAGCCATTTAAGGCTCCTGAGAAACAAGGCCCTAAGCAGGGAATCAAGGGGCTTCCTGACAAGCTGCCTTTTGAGAGCATTAATCTGCAGTCTAAAAGTTCCAAGCAGAAAGTTGACCATTTTAAAACCAGCATCTATCATAAACCTTTGTCTAGCTCAGTTAAGCTAAGGGAACAGAAAAATGAAGCTGCCTCAAGGCAATGTGAGGAATTGTCAGACTCCAGTAGTGATGACGGCATAGAGGAAGCAATTCAACTCTACCAGTTAGAAAAGAGCAGGCTAGAAGGAAATCTTATTATGGGTCAGAAATGCTCTTTAGAGAAGGAGGCAAAAAGCACTGCTACGTATTCTGGAACTTTCTCTCACTGCCAAGATAAAAACTCCTCTCCAGAACCACATACAAACACTGACTACAAAAAAAGAAAACTCCCTTTTAGCGGTCATACAGCATCTCAAGACACCTCAATCTGTCATCCCCCAACTACTAAAAGGACATTTTCTTATGGAGATGATACTAACTCAAAATGTGAAGTTGCAGTACAAACAACACGCAGAGCTGAGACAGCAGCCGAGTTAATGTGTGCTGAAGCAATACTTGACATTTCTAAAGCAATTTTGCCTTCTCAGCCAGAAACAACTTTTGTGATTTCTCAAGAAAGACTACTCACTCAACCAAAATCCCCTTGCCCTAGTGACAGCTCAGTTGACAGCGATGACAGCATTGAGCAGGAGATAAGAACATTTCTCGCCCGTAAAGCGCAAGCAGAGAGCATTGGCGCATCTCCTGTCAAACAGTCCTCTCCAAATCCGCAAAGACTTGATCAACGGAAGCAGCAGTCCATTTCCAACAATAAAACCTTGTCTCAAAAGGGGAAATTAACAGAGAGCAAAGCTGTACAGAAGGACTTGGTGGGGAAGGGTGAAAAGAGGAATGTAGATGTTATCGGTATAGCAAGTACAGTGTCTTTTTCTCCAGAAATCTTGCAGACTAGAAATACAGATGTTGGCATGAAGGAGCACTCCAAGGCATCTTATAAACCGGAAGAAGCCAAGCACATTGTTCAGGAGGCAACAGAAAGTCTTGTGTCTCTTCCTAGAATAACTGGAGGAAAAAGGAAGATCTACACTAAAATGAGGAGTAACTGTAGTGTTGATACAAGCAGTTCTTTGGACAGTGATGAGGATTTAGATTCCGCTATAAAGGATCTCCTCCGATCCAAAAGAAAATGTAAAAAAAGACCAAAGGATGGGAGGCCACTGTATAAGAAAAGGGTCAGGTTTGGGGAAACCACTACCAGGACCCTAGAATCACTTGGCAGTAGTAGTGATTTAAAGGATTGCTTGCTCAAACCTGCTGTTAAAAGTTGCCTTGTAAATTCCAGCAACTCCCAAGAGAATGCTTTAAAGCCTAGTTTCAACATGAATGAGGATAACAGGAGCATTGCAAGCAATTTAGACTTGTCACCAAATAAACCTGAGTGCAAACCGGCTAGTGACCCAGACAAGCCTTTGAGTAGTGCCTTGCCTGAAGCACAAGACAGTAGTTCTGTGGACAGTGATGATAGCATTGAGCAAGAGATAAGGAAATTTTTGGCGGAACGTGCCCGGGAGTCTGCAGAACTTTGCGCAGCACAAAAGGCACCTCATGCTGTCACAGCTTAAGTGTTGTCACACAGACTGACTCTCCAGCCAGTCTAAGCAATCCTCCACCAATAAAACAAGAACCCAGGGTTTTGTCCAGTTCAGAAACAGAGACCATACTTCAAAAAGTCATGGAAAAGGACCGTTCAAATGCACCCGTTCCCCAGCCAGCGTTAATACAGCGCGTGCAGGACTATAAAGATGTTGTACCACAGGTCAGGCTGATACAACGACCAGCTGCAGAAGTTCCCAAGATATCTGCTCCTGTACATAGTGTCATTGTAAAGAGAGAATGTTTTCTAGAGAAAAACAGAGTGATGAGACCAGCTGAGAAGGTCCTTCAAGCCACTCCTGAAAGAGTTATTGTAAAAACTGGAGTCAACGGATCACAAGGCAGTTCTCCTGTTTCCGGAAACTTTGTTGCTGGCCTTAAGTACATTTCAGGGACAGACCAGCAACTCCTCCTAAACATGGGAAAAGCCAGCTCTACAAGGATGGCAACAGAACTCTACAGTCCTGGGGGAAATATCACTAGACTAGGAACCTGTCAGCCAGTCCAGAAAAAGACATTGATTTTGGAACAGCCTAAAATTGTCCAAGCACCTACCTTCTCTCTCAATACCCCTGTGGTTCGCCCTGCATTGTATGTTGTGACTAAGGTGGTCAAGGATGCTCCTACTGCACTATGCCTGCCGATAAACACAGCTGCCTACGATGCTGGACTTAATCTAATGAGTATACAGTACTGTCAAGGTCAGGTAGCTGCTCATACCCCTGTGTGTACTGCACCTTTCCCCTTTCAGCAAAATAGAGGCAGTGAGATTGTGGTGAATATTCCAGGCACACCAGGAGAGGGCATTGCCTCTTGGTACCAAAGCGAAAGAGAGTCAGTCAGTGACAGAAATAGCCAGCAGATCTTTTTTTAAAGAAAAATCGGCAGAGGATGTAGGGGCAGGCTCTGATGTCAGTTTGTACAGCAGTGGAAGCTCAGCTAAGAAAGAGAACATGTAAGTACTTTTAGTCATATAGAGCTGTATAGGACCACTGTAAATAGTTTGAACATTGGAGCAAGTCATGCCACAGCATTAGTGTTATAAAGTAGGGCACAAGGTTGGCCAAACTGTTGTCCTCCCATGGAGGAACTGCATGACCTAGCACGCCCAGCAAGCTAGCCTTGTCGTTCCTCAAAATCCAAAAGGCCACAGCTTGTCACACCCCCCCCCCCCCCCCCCCCGGCATAGAAAAAAAAGCCCCCCTTTTTTTTCTATTTTTTTTTTTTTTTTTTTCCTTTTAATAGGGCTCGTCTAACCTAGTCCCTGAGTCATAAATTGCACCATTACTCATTGCTAATTTTTGAAAGCAATATGTGATATTTTTTTTTTCCCCCTTTAGTTATGCGTTCTGCTGTTCAGCGCACATTAATGTCACATGCATCATGTAATACCTGTGCTCTGTTTTTTAACTCGCATGATAATGAAGGAACGTTTTGCATATTTTTACTTTTTTTTTTTCTATTTTGTGAAATGGTAGAATAATTAAACATTTCATAGCAGGAAAACTGTGCCGCTTAAAATGGACTTGTTTAAACTAGTGAAGTTGAGCAATGGTACCAGTAATTTGCAGCTATGTCTGATTGTCTGCAGGCCAGTGTCAAATCCAAATCAGGGGTGGGTCTGCTGGTTAGAGGCTAAAAGAAATCGGCTACCTTTCTGGTGTGTCAGCAGCATGGCTCACTGAGAGAACATGGATGTTATTGTACTCTTCAGATTGGTATTTGCCCTTTTTTGATTTTCCTCTCTGATACTTTAGCTTAAGAGGTTTGAAGTTGCCAAAGTCCAACACTTACTACTCTGTGTAACAGGTGTTGGGTTAGTCAATGGACAGGGTATCCGTGGTCATACGTAAGGATACCTTGATACAAATAGACTGATCAGATACAACTGTGCAGGCTTTACTGACGTTTTAATAACCGCATAAGATGTAATATTCCTGTAATTTTTAAAATGTGGGGGAGCGTTAGATCAAATTTTAATTGCTGTTTGTGTCCCTACTAAAATGTCACTGTTACCAAAGGTGATGGACGATCATCCTATGCAGGCAACTTTTTTGGTGACAACTAAGATTCCCCCACTTTTTTACTCATTTTATGTTTGCACACTGGGATCGAGTGAAAGGAAAACTTTTACCGCCTTTGGGGCATAATGAATAATGAAAACGTGAAGAACATTGGGTTTTCATTTTACCTCTAAAGGTACAGTGACACAGGGAAGGTCAAGGCTGTTGCATACCTTGCGTGTATCAGCTCTGCGATACAGAAGAAGCTTTTTATGAGGCCCTCTTTTAAAACATTGGGTGAAGGGAGGAGTTGGAGTGGTGCAAGCATAATGCTTATACCATTCTTCTAAACTTGAAAAAAAACTGAGCTGCTCCTAATTTAAAAAAAAAAAAAAAAAAAAAGTGTAATCCGTTTTGTTAGGTCTGATCTGCTTCATGTTTTGTGTTGTCTGTGAATAGACAGCACAGTACATGTGGAGCTGCATGCTGAAAACGTATCTGCATCTGCACCCCTCTCAACCAAGTGTCTGAGGTTGGAGGAGGGCTGTGCAAGTCTGGTGTGTACTGTGTAATCACTGTACAAGCAAGGAGAGGGATGTGAACTGTCTGCTGAAGTATCATAGCCACTGTTTCACCATAATCTATATCATATATAATGGTTTACTGGATGGTTTTAAGTGGACAATTTATGGGTTACTGTACTTACAATAATTTAAATATCCCCTTATAAGAGTAACTGTATAACAAACACCATATGTGCTTCTGTAGATCCTGCCAGTGTTTCCTTCATCCGTCTTGTGTTGATCCCTGTGGCATCCTACTATTTCCTATACCAGCATGTAGTCCCCCTGATCAATACAAGACTTTGCTGTTCTGCTGACTCCTGTCTGCCATGGCAGCGTGTCAAGTGTTGCAGTGGAGAATTTTTTTCCATTATCCATTCTTGCTATTGCTGGGCATTGTGCATCCAGCAGCTTAGAAAAACAAAGTATCATGAGAGGTGCAGGAGTTCTCATAATGCCAGGCAAGCTGTTGACCTCAGAAAGGGGCTGTTTTTAATTCAGTTAAATAAACTGTACTGTGAAAAATTGTATAATATTTTAAAATGGATTAGTGTACTTTTGTCATGTGAGTACAGGGTATGAAAATTCCTTTTTATATTGCGTTGTTCAGCTTGACCCACCCCTAATTGGCTAAAATCACCAATCTAGTAAAATATCTTTACATACAGTAGAAGCAGACATGGTGCTTGGGCTTTAACGGTCATTCTTGAGAGCATGTCTGGATATCTGGCAGACAGTAAGCCCCAACCATTAGGATTATCACTTTATACTGCAGCATGTTTGCCTTTTGATACTTGTATGTGAAGTAAATTGTTTCAAGTTGCTCAGTTTCACAGTGTGTTGCTTCATGCCATTTTCTTGAAAGCTTCTGACAGTGAACATTCCATAATTAAAAAATGTTTGTAAATTTAATTAACATGTAAATAGAGCAGTTTGGTATTAATTCTGTGGGGTTTTTTTTTTCAACTTTTTAGTTTAATTGCCATGAATGTTTGTTTTTGTTTAGCCTCTTTGCAAGTTGAAGGTTTTATTTTGCACTCATTTCAATCATCATTTTTGTTTTTAGAGGGTTACATTAAGAAAGGTTCCCAATCCAGTTAGTTTGCAATGTTGTGTGTTTTTTTTTTTTTTTTTTTTTTTTTTGTGGCACTGCTGAAGCCCAGTGAGTCTACAACTATGGACCAGGAAATGTCTTTTGCTGTTGGACAACTTTTAGGGCTGGTTCACATTGTAATGCACATTGAGGCAACCTATCCACTTTTAAATTGGCTCTCAGAAAGCGAAAAATTGCACCTGCATGGTTTTTGGCACCACGGCACACTTCAACACACAGGGCATTCACAACATGTGTGATCCACTAAGCAGTTGGGTTGCAGTTATCCATAAACGGCATATCTACAGCACATTTCCTTGAGTTTGGGGAATGTGCATTAAAACAAGCTTGAACACATAATATCACATGCACTATGGTGTGAATGAGCCCTTTAGATTTCAGCCTTTTGTGAAAGCCAGAAAGTAATCACTCTGGGCTTCACAAAAGTGTATAAAGGCAAGATCTAGTTTGAAAAAACTATTGAGGTTTTAAAACCACCCACCTTGTGAGCACAGAAAATGGATTCACTTAAGGCTGAGAGGGGGCTGATGACATCATCCTTCGTGTGGTTATTAACAGGATCTCTACTGGGTGTAAGAAAATCTTTCTCTTACTATCTCATTTTAACAAATGTTTCAATATATATATATATATATTTGTTTAAAAGTGCTTTTAAGTTGCCTTACATATTAGGTTCACTGCACCTGTAGATTGGTTTAAGAGTTAAACCCAGCATCGGATATTGATTTAGTAATATAACGGACTGTCTTTATGGATTCTAGAACTTTCACTATTAAGCCACCTTTTTAAGGCACTGCTCTTTACCAATAATATTTTTCAAATATTCTTTTATTACTGACATGAATCAATCTACTACCCGTAAACTTTTTGTTCTTTAGGATCATATCATTGTTTACACATCAGACACTATATTAATAGACAATGCGAGTAAATGGGCCATACATCTTATATATACAGTTTGCTCTAGATTTATCAGAAAAGGTTGAGGGTCTGTATGATTGGATATATATTGAATTCATTTTTTTAAGTAGGCCCTCACAACACATTACAGTAGGTAAATCTAAAGTTAATATATACAGAGATTGCAAAATTGGGTTTTGATTGGTGTGGTGGGCTAATTGCAAGGTTCTTTGATTTTGCTGTTAATAAGCAAACCATAATCCATGCCCTTATTGATGTCATCTTGGCTGCTGCCACTTGGTAAAGGATCCAGTGTGCATTATAGCAGTAAGGAATCGTGCTACAGCAGACCTTAAGTCCAGCTCAATATATAATATATATGCAAATTTAGATGCGTTTTAGAACCGCACTGATTTGCATGACGTGAACCAAAAGGCTTTTTCAGTGGAGCCTGTTCACATGTGTGGGCTGGCCGCAGCACGATTTGAAAAATAGCCTTGTAAGATTTTCAGTCTTTCAGGTGCGATTTCCAATCTCCTACACTTTAAACAAGTTGCATTGGAATTGTACCTGAACCACTGAATGAAATTATACCGGAAAGGCATAAATCGCACTGCAAACCAGCCCCATACATCTGTGAACCTGGGCTTATTGAATGAATGTAAAATATTATACAGCAGGTTCTGCTTTTTCAAGTCTAGGGAGACTTCTTGCCCTATATGATGGCCATAGACAGCATGCATTCTCTCTGACAATGGGTGATATGACATGACAAATGGGCCATGCAGGGCTTCTCTAAGGTGAAGTAACGTGCTTAAATTCATTTGAAGATGTAAGTTATTGCCCTCCAAGAGAGCTGTTTTTACATTATGGTCCACAGGGATTCTCTGACTGTGGAACAAACACCCAATGCAAAAGGAGATGAATTGTTTTACCATGTACAGCCTCTACCACTCTACTAAGTCAAGAGTGTCAGTTGAGCAATCTTCAGCAAGTTGAAAGTAGATATCTCCTGCCCATAATGTCAGTATCCTTTGTGTAAAAATACATGTTTTTAATCGCATTATTTAGTTTTGCTTTTAAATGTGTAATATTTTTTTTATCTAGGTCTGTCCACCATTAATATTTAAATTTTATATATTAATTTTTATGCACTGAAAAACTTGATCTCCACACCATACTTCCCATCTCATTCTTAGTATTTTCTGTAATATCAATCAATAGTGTAAATTTTAGGTTATGGTGTATTTCCACCTTTGTAGCCAAATTGGGATAACATTGACTTTATATCTGTGTTCCTATTCACACAGTATAGCTTTAAAAATTGGTGCTTAACTTTTTTTTTTTGTTTGTTTTTTTTTTTACTTTTCTGAAAACTC